GTTACACTACTTTTGAGTTACTTTCACCAAAATATCCACATAAGTATTACAAAATGCCAAAATGTAGTTTATTGCTGCTCATTCTACATCCAGTGGAGGGTAATGTGGTAGGTCTATATGGCATAAAATTATAAAATCATATTTAGATACCGGTATAGGTCTATATAATGTTACGTTGTAGCCTAGTTTAGGTTAAACACAGATAAGCACAAACCGCATTATTACATTCATAAATAACACCGGTAAATAAAGCGAAATGTTATAATATACAAACAATAAACACAATACCTAGCCTATAGGCTATTTTGAACGGTTTCAGAAGAAAACAAGAATGAAAAATATAAGTTGCTAAACAAGCCAAAACGAATAAGGCTAATTCAATGCGAAACTGAAATCAAATGGCGTTCTCGCGCAGCCTACCTCTCTCATTCAGCATTAATCCAATTAAATGTGTCCATATTTGCGATGAATTTGAATGCAAACCTATTATTTATTATGTAAACCAGGCTTACTTAACGCGCTTAAAAAACATCCTCTTCACATGAGCAAATGTGTGTTTGGCCCAAGCTCAGGCTGAACGGCACAGATTGTAACTACGCAGTACGCACTATTTAAATTAACCAGTGTATCTATATGTTTGGTTGACTGTATTTTATTCTGATAATGAACAGGCTGCAACGTTTGCAATGCTGTATGTGCGTGAGGTGCCGGCGTACGGTGGCCGAGAAGTGCAGAACAAATCACAATTCTGAAAACAAAAGAACAAATTACAAACGCAAATACAAGTCTAAAAAACAAAATAACAATTCAGAAAGCACAACAACAATTCAGAAAACATTATAACAAGTCAGAAAACACAATGACAAATCCGAAAACAAATGAACAAGTCAAATAACACAACGACAAATCAGACAAACCGGAAGAGGTAGATATAGTTTGAGACAGCGCCATTGGTTTTGGATTACTCACCGCTGACTGGACGAGACATCTGTCAATCAACGTATACAGGGAAGAACCAGCCGAAGAACAGCAGAGTCATGGTAGAAAGTTCGGAGATGGTATTAAAGTAGCTCAGTTTAAATGTATTGTATGAATTGCCCTTACTATGGAATAAAAAATACAGGGTGTATATTTACATTTATTAAAAAGTGGCTGTGACACATCAGCTCCAGTGGCACAGATGGATATGCGCGTGTCACCGACTTTTTGATGTGATCGACCGGGGTTCGATCCCGCCTTTTGCCGAGCTTTTTTCCCCTCCCTTTTCAAATCTCGTATTAGCAATGGATTCTATTTACACTAAGTGAAAATAGCTGTATTTTTAGTAATATGCTATTTACACTAAGTGCAAATACCTAGTTACACTGTTAAAATAGCAGGATTTCTACTATCAAGTATACTACTTGTTGCAAATAGTGGCAATTATCTGCACTTCAGTATTGTAGTACATTATAAAACAGTATGCAATAATAACGTATTGAGTGTAAATTATAATTTAAATTTAAATTATTAAATGGATGCCACCTTATTGGTACAATAAACCCCTCCCTACACCTACCCTAACCCTACCCGATACTTTATTTTCAACTTTTTGATTATTTCCTTAATTTTTATTGAAAAATAAA